CCAAATTTTAAATTAACACCTCTAGATTTCATGGTAGACCTTGTATACACTAGCTCATTATCGAACTACTACTCATTTATTTCATTCTGCAACTCTTGCTTTCTAAGAATTGGATTTTGAAGAACTAGGCAAATGCTGTTTAGATGCTTTTATGGGTTTCATATTATTACTTGTTAGTTTTTAACTCATAAAACTGGCTGTGGTAAACATAATAGAATGCGAATTTTAACCTGTCGTTTGGAGTGTTCCCTAAATATATTTCTACTTATCCTTTGTAAAAGGATTCCACGCATCCATCTTTTGACCTGGTTTCATTTTTCTCACATTGCGTACTTCGATAGCATTACTTACCAAAAAGTTTGATTACCAGGAATATTTCAAAACACCGACCGGCTTGCAAACGTGCACACCTAATTTGGGGATAACGTGAAGGACGTCTCAAGAAGTGATATTTTGTTGGTTGGGTACACTTATGGATACGAAAACAGAGGTACTGAAACGTATGCAAGGTTAATAATTACAGTGTGGTTTACGAGAAGTGTCTGTATAATTAACTTATAAATGTCACCAATAAAGTAACCTTCATTATGGCCACAACAACCACTGAAATATTACCTCTCGAGGCAATGAAGGTAGGTCAGTTGTGCTCCCAATTTTAGTTGGTTTTATCATTCGATTGGATATCACTGGAGACTCGAAGCTGAAAACGGTCCCAGAAGAAATGCCTCATTTTCCTACTGTCTGGATGCACCAAACGGACGACATAATGAGAACTCGTCGTCATGTTTCGCATGACTCTCTGGGACTTTGTGATGGTTTTTGGGGCTATGTCGTGAGACGTTTTTGCCTACAAACCAAACCATGTGAATACAAATGACCTTATTCTGTAATGGATTATGAATTACCTATGTAGAGTTTTTTAACTCATCCTCAAACAAGGAAATGTATGTGAACTTAAAACCATTCCATACACTGAAAACCAAGAATCTTCATTGAGTATTGCAGGAAATCAAAGAGTTTGTAAATTTACTACGGAATGAAGTTTTTTCAATTCAGTTGAATCTCAGCCACTTTGCTTTAGACAATCAATTCGTTCATCTGTGCTGATTAGATCAGATGCAGACAACTGGGACTTCAGGGAAGGAGACCGTGGCTTCTACATTGTGATATGGCTATATTACACTATCTCCAAACTATCGTTAACAATTATATCCTTCCTCCAAAAATTGGGTCAGTGTTAAGAAGAGCTTGAGTGAGGTGGGATAAAAAACCAGCAGGAATTGGAGCCGAAGCTCAAATCTAGCAGGATAGATTGCCACATAGCAATCGTGAGTGTTACTTCTGGTTGAACCCAACCAGAAACGAGCCTGAGGCCCTTCAAGATGAATAACCAACTGGTTTCTTAGTGCATCACCAATTAACCTGCAAACATCAGTCAGGTAATCCCATGGTATAGGGAGGATTTTTGACATCAAAATCTAAGAGATCAAAATTAAAAGGCAGAGTCAAACATCTGACCAGCTTCACCCTTTTTGATAGTAAGTAGAAAACTATTGAGAGTGTCTAAGTTCTTTCATGTACCAATGATTCCTGTTTTATCCAAAACGACCGAAACAGAAAATAGGTGACAGTGTTGCTGTTATTCTGATTTAATAACATGGCATTACACTGCTCATGCGCTCAGAGGTTAGGAGGTAAGCGCATTTACTTACTATCATATCACAGGTAGTAAGGTTATGGAGAAGTGGAGACCAGCTTGAACTTAGTTTGGTAGTGGTATTTTTGAACCCCGTTGTACTTGCAGAACGTCAGTTTGAAACGAGTAACCGGACAAGAAAGTCGAAATTCGATTGTTCTTAGGGAAAATTAATTTCTTAGTCTTTCGTAGTAACCCACTTGTTCATATGTATGATGATAATACTGCTAAGAATGTTCTCAGGTATTGATGTATCCGGTGATTTATGGGAGGAACTTGTCATGAAAGCTGTCAATATGCAGCATACTGTATGATTGAGACGGGGTCAAAGCAATGCAATATTAAAACTACAGTCATTGCAAAAGGTCTCAGGGCTTAACGTAAAAAAGGAGGAAGGGTGGCGCATACTGATCAGCAGATATGGTAGTGGTCACAAATGTGAATTGCTCCGATCTATAGGACAGCAACATGGATTTTTTGACAGATCGAGAATTAAACATGAGTTTAGATCCTCAATATAAAAAATTAACTTAAAAAAGTAAAAAACAATAATGACTGCGCAGATCTAAATTATAAAACAAATGCTTTTGCTCCTAACATCTACAAGCCTGCTCAGCTTCTTGTCAAGGTGCTACCTCATGGGCCCTACACAAATTCGCCAGACATCTTACAGGTCTGCATATCCCACAGGTTCTAATCTCTCAAGCCACTTCTTTCTGAAATGTAACTTATGTACTCCATGACAATTCCTTTACCTAATTACTATTATGCTCCATTTTATCTCAACTCTGTAGGCCTTTAATGAAGCTGAAATTCGCTCTTCTCATTCACACTCTTCGCACGCATAAAGTTCAGTTGCTCAGGTGAAGAAAAAACATAACAACAACACCCATGTTTGAGAATAACTATAATTTCATCAAAAACGTCATAGTTTTCCATGGTAAGACCAATATACTTAGCGTCATACACAGCAAATGTGGACTGCCATTTCAAGTACTCTATAGCTGCTTCTTATATTTATCTTGTAAATGTACTTCCAACGATCTATTATCCATAACTGCATTTTATACCATTTTGCAGTTTCCCTGGACATCCTTCTACTCCTGAAATAGCGTTCAATCACGTGGGGGCACCCACTCAAATATATGGCTATAACTATCATCAAGAAATGGGACCTAAGTGAAGGGTTTACAATTTAACATTCATAAGAATCTGTTCCGTTGCTTGCTTCAGTAATTTTAACTTTTGAAAAAGTGCTAATTTATGCTAATTCACAATTGTAATTTTGTAACATAATTGATCGTGTCGGTGAAAATGGCATGCATTTCACGTAAGCTTACCCATTTATACGAAATATATTACTATTATGTGGCACGCATTTCAAAATCATTGTTCCTGAGACAAAAAGTGCATTGGGGTTACCATGGTTTATGTAATAACAGTGGATGAAATGACTTTTGAAATATTAAGGTTACACAACACATTAAAGAAAGAATATATAAAGGAGAGTGATGTGGCTGCACATCACCTACTGATGCAAAATCAATTTGAAAATATTCATAGCAGCTGAGGGTAAATAACAATTCAAGCTTAACACCCGGAAAGCAATGGGCAGAGCTACTAAGGACACAAGCATTGCAGCCACCAGGAAACAGATAGAAACATTTGGCAACGTCACTGAAAGAACACCCGAACGTGATGTTGAAGGAAACTTGTATAAATACTTGGAGCGCGAAGGAGGAGCAGGAGATGGAACTGCTGTCTACGCATATGTGGGAGCCAATTAAATGGCGAGGGATGTTGTTTAAGGAGATTTACCAGTACAAAGATGGACAAAAAAGGAGGAGATGAGTTTAGTCTACAGCGCACCGGATAAAGAAGTAAAGATGAGTCCTGGGAAAAACGAAGTTCATTTCTACAACACACTGAAAACTCAAAGAAAACGCGTTGCGTCGATTGCACAGCGGTTATGACTCTCACCGGCAATGCACATGGTTCGGGTTTCGATCCCCTGTCGACGCACACCCGGTATCAATGGTTGGCCTGCAATATTTGGGCTACCGATATCACATGCTGAAAATTCCATACTTGAACCAATAAATACTGTGTGGAGTCAAGCTATATAAATATTATATATATATACATATATAAAGAGACAGCTCAGAAGTTCCTGTCAGATAACCAGGCCGGGGGAAGAGATCGACACAGATGAAGCCAGTAAAAGACATTGGGGATAACCTGAACGACAATCAGCTACTCAAAGTCAGCTGGAGAGCCCTTAATTTCTCAGGAAGCACTGAAATCAGATGCAGGGACGCCAGTAGATTTGCCCATGTGACTACCGCCGAAACTATGCAAGGAAGAAGAGCTCCCTGCTTTTTGGAACAAAACTACGTTATTATACCGACAAGGAACGGCAAGGTAAGCTTGTGCCAGAACTACAACGGGATCTTGCTGCCGTCTACTCCAAGTAAAATATTAGGCCATATCATCCCGTAAGGCCTGAAAGATGTCATGGATGACAGATTTTGCTCAAAACAGGCTGGATTCAAGAAATACAAGTTATTCATAGATCAGATTACATCGTTACACATGACCACTGGACAGAGTCCGGAGTGGCATTTAAATCCCTACCTGGACTTTACCGATTTCAAAAAGGCTTTCGGTAACACCATCCATAAGATAATCTGAAAACCTCTCCACCGTTACGGAATGACACAAACATTTACGAACCTTCTGTTATATAGAAATGCAGCGTGTCAAGTGGTCCACAAAGGATAACTCAGAGAAACTTTCTATGTGAATGCAAAAATAAGACGAGGCTGCACACTACCATCGATGGCCTTTTTCGACTTGGATAAACTGGGTCAATCTGAAAAGCGTTAGGAGCAATAAGACCCTAAAAGATCTGGACTTCACGGCTGATTTGTGTTTATTGCTCCACAAACTCTGATATACATCAGCGAAAATTACGAGTAGACAGAGGTGGCATCGAAAACTGGATTTCATGTGATCGTAGAGCAGACAGAGGACGAAGACACCCAGGCAACAACAACAAGCACCGATCATCATCAATGGAAGAAATGCCAATAGAATCGTATTATTTCACTTAACTAGGCGGCATTGCTTCAACTACAGATGGCATGAATGATGATACCAGGTTCAGTCAGGATCCGGAAAACGAGAGGAGACTTGGTCAGTGAATACATTTTTTCCAGTCGCTGCTATTAACATCCCACTTGATTAAGTCTTTCAGTAAGATTTTTATAACCGAGAATAGAATCGAATTCCTAATATCTACGATATCAATTCTAAATATTCTGAACTGAATATAACTTTGAATCATCTAAATTCTTGAGGTCATATGCATAGAATCTCTGGCGCTCGCTTGGTTTTTTCGGAATGTAGGCGATTATCTAAGTTGATGGCATCTTATCTTGGTGAACCAAGAGTTTACTATGAGGTTTTAACATTTCAGCACCTGATAAAAATTATTTAGTCTCCTGATTACGTTAGATTCTCTAGTAGTAAGCTTGATTTGGATGGAAAGATGAACTTATCGAGTCCAACCAAAGGTAAGTATTTATGCTTAGTTTGTGATAATGTACTATTTACAGATGACCGAAAAAAAATACTTGATAGTTCTGATTGTGCACAAATGGTTCGTTTGTGCTCAGAACTGCATTTACAAGTAGGATTGTTTATTTATTTAAATTGCCCACTTTGTTAGTGCAGAACATACCTTGCAATTATTCGTGCCAGCAGTCCTTCAGATAATGATTTTTCTGAAAATGCGCAATCAGACACGGATGTTGTGTACACTTTAAAGAAACTTCATACATTACTGGAATCTGGCTTTTCTGCGCGAATCAAATACTTATACTCCATCGCGAGCGATTATGATTTTGGCTCATTGCGGGCTAATGGGATTCGGAGTTTCTTGATTATCACAATGAGATGTTGTGCTGTATTGTTAACATATCTTCGACAGATGAGTTCGTACTCTATCTCCAACTGGTAAGTAAGGATTAACACTGTAGTTTCTGTTAGGTGTGTCAATCATTATCAGCTACCATTTTTCATGCGGAACTAGACTTGAAACTTTTCAATGAAGCTGATGTAAATCGATCATCACTCTTTGCTATCTACCTTATATATGTGCACATCTATGGGGTTCATTAGGAAACTGCAAGAGCACAATAAGACGGTGTGGATTAATAGCAAGTTTTTGGATGTTTATAGGAATAGAAACATTGTTTAATAGCATCATTCTAGTTGGTATCCGTTGTTAACCTTAATCATTAGCTTATAGTTTTTTGAACAGGATAAAAACGCCGAAAACTGAGTGTCAATAATTAAATGTGTGGAAGTGCCTTCACTTGTACTTAAAGTAATAAGCAATATTTTGTCCAATAATACTGAAACTAAGCATGCAGTGTATATTTTGGTGATTTAATTTCTGGTCACACATGGCAGCATGTGATTTTTATAGATTAATCCCCAATATTCTTTGATTTATTTTATCTCATAAATGATACCATTCAGCAATTATGTATACTGTTGTGCACTTAATTTTTAGTCACGTGTGATGGCTAATAATTTTATATAACTCGTAACTCATGTGTCTGGGCTGAATAACCATAATCACATTTGCGCACAGAAAATCTTTATATTTCATTCCATTCCATTAATAAAGTTAAGAAGTATTTCATTTTACCAACTGTCTTTAATTCTGGTAAAAATAGTTCTCTCTCAAAATCTTATAAGCAAATGTGTTATTTTGGGAAACTTAAATTTTACAGTGACAGGTATCATCCCCTTGTGATTACATCAAGGACACCTAACAGCATTTTCAGTTCAGTGTTTCAAATCTGTGTATGTAGTATGGATGTGAAACACTAAATGTAAAAGCGTATTAAAAAACCGGTAAGAGCTAATGGTCACTCTCAGCCAAAGAACAGAAAAGTGGTTGGAAATTTTTGTTCTTAAGTGACAATCCAATTCAGCCTGATCTGTGTTATAGTGACACCACTTATAATTACTATTGTAGTATGAAATATCATACTTTCTTTTATTTTAATCTTTCAGGTCTGGTATAACCCATCGAAGTGTCATATCATATGTCAATTGCTTGATAGAGCTCAATGTGTGTCTTGAAGTTGTGAGTCATTCACCACGCTTTGCTAATCCATTGTGTTTATTCCCTCGCTCGGAATTTGTTGATTTACCGGAGATTGGACATTGTGATACAAAACGTATTATAAGAAATCCATTAAGTGTAATCCAAACTGCCAATTCAAAGTTTGATTCAAAACAATACTTGGAGGATTTATCAGAGTTTTATCGATTAGAAACTCTGTCAGATAATATAAAACAGGAATATTTCTACGGTCGTTGTTTAGCTTTTTATTTGTGTCCTAGTGCTCAAAGGATCTTACAATTTTTGAATTCTTTAATGGCCGGATATGGTAACAGCTTTTTGGTAAGTTCACGCATTGCTTGTGTATAAAACCTAAATCGAGTCATTAGTTTTCCAAATAGATTTGCTAAGGTTAAGCATGTATACTGAATTTTAGCATCATTGCATTACAGTATTCAGCATGTAATTTGCTTCATACATATTTTGAGTACCTATATTCTCTGCTTTGTTAGCTTCCTACAAATGTATTTATCATTTCATTTCTCATGGCTTTCCCCTTAGATATTTTAACATAAGGCCTGATAATTTGTGTAGGCCCGCTTTTGTGCAAAGTTTTATGATATTCCAATTACTTTATGAATAATCTTTGGCAGTACATCTGATTAGCTTCATAACTTTGCAATTAATTCTGCGAAATCTTAGCATATATAGACCAGCTGTTAGATATGAAGTGGCAAAATGATATATAAATAGACTTGAAATCTAGAATACAATTATTGAGCATTATTCTAAGGTTTAATTTAATTTAGTTTATAAACAGAATAATGATAATTTCCAATTGTGGTGCTCCCAAGGAGGAAAGTGTCCTAATGAATTGCGAGAAAGGATCACCAATCTGAATTAGGGTGAAAATCCACAAATGAACGCATTAGTACAATGACTAGAGGACGTTAATACTGAGCCGTAGGGTTTAACTGCGAAGCTCTCGTTAGGCTTCTGGATAACATCTTCAGCGCTAACTTTAGAGTGAAGTCGGTTTCGGGAATTCTTCCTGATAGGAAGGTTTGTCTCTTCTGATACTCTCATTAACACCTGATATTTAACATTTTAGTAATTTTTACCTATTTCTTATTGATTGATAAATTTAATACATATCCACATGTCTATTAATTGCAAATTGATTTGATGAGTACTAGACATCTAGGGATTCTGTAGCGTTCTTTGTGTTTTCTCTTAGATTTTTAAACTGTCCCAGTTGAACTGAACTGTATGGAAGCTCTGATTTGGCATTAGCTTTGATGATCCGGATCTTGTTCCTTATGTTGAGTGTAGCAGGTTTATACATTGACGTCAGATTAGTGAATGTCTAACATGCTTTTCCGATCCTGGTTGACATTTTCATCAGTGCCGCCTGTGTTCACTCGAAGTCCCGTCTTCGCTGCATCTTTCACCAACTTGTTGACAAGTTTGTATGGCATTAGATATAAATTAATCCCAAAGTCCAGGTCTTCTAGGATCTTTTGTAGGTCTCATGTATACCCCTAGGTCTGTTGCATGATCCAGTCCACTGTAATCAGGAATATCATCGGTAATGTTAGGCAGCCGTGTCTTACTCCTGTATTCACTTCAAATTCTTCTTTGAGCTTTCCGTTGTGAATTACTTGGCACGTGGTATCATCATTATGAGGTTTATAGATGTTCGCAACACTACACTCCATCGTATTGAAGAAGTTTCCTCGCTACTTGACGGCTGACGCTTCTAAAGGCCTTTTCAAATTCGATGAAATTGAGGCACAGAGTTAAACATATACTGGCATTTGAAATACATGAAATACATTCAGTCATATCAGTTCACGTAAAAATAACTACGGACGTCAGATCAACTGGATTTAAAAATCTTAGACAGAGGAAAATGCCAGTGAATCCCTAGGCACTTGATACTCATCAACTCAATTTGCAGTTAATACACGTGAACACAGACTAAGTTTATCAATAAATAAAAAAAGGTCATATTGTGGTGAGAGCTGGCTGCTAGCCAAAGTTGGTAGACAGTAATTGACGTCAATGTTTATGTCCCCAATATTGGTGGTGAGAAAATGAGAACAAAGGCTTTGCGTAGGCGGATACAGTTAGCATATGGAGGATCTGACACAGCCACAAGAGATGCAAGGTTAACTTTCTGTGACAAACAACCAATCAAAAGACTGCATTTTCTACTAACAATAATCTACAATAATGTACATTAAAATCTATAAATATGTGTTGATTTTCCTTAATAAACGATCTGTTGCCTGGCCCTTGTCTTCTGTTGTTACAATATGACTAAGATGTCAAATATAAGGTCAACGAGGGGTTCGATAACAGTCAAAGTAGATACAACCATACGGCCCCATGTTTCACTCCGAACACAAGGGAATAATAATGTTCATGGATGCAAAGATGAAGGAGACGTTTGTTTTGAACAGTATATTGGTTTTCACGGTTGATGTAGTCTGTTTTTATCGATGACGTCGGATTTTACCTTCTTTCGGTGTTGGGTCATTTGGTTTAAGTAATGTTGGTATAAAGAAACCGTGCGTGCTGGTTCGTGAACACCAGCTCTCCCAAAATTTTGGAAACCATCTGGCTCGGAAAACATAGTAACATCAAAAGTATCCACCTGTGTTACAAATCTTCTGCACTACTTCAAAATCCTAATGATATAGTGTATTCCAGGAAATTTTGTGCATTGTTTCACACCGTGTTCTTCACAAAAATGAAACGGCGAATGCGAACCTCTGACGCTTAGAACCTGACTGGTGCTACGCGCTGGTTTACCTAGGGAAGCTGGAAAACGCTAATTTCAAACCTATGGTGTACATGGGCTGCACAATGCGGACGGATTGCATGGGGTATTATCTTGTTTCGGACACCGGAAACCACTGCCTTGTGGATTAAGTCAAAGACTGGGGATTTGCCCCTGGGCGTCCGGACAGTATCCGAACCCTGGCACAAACCATGAGATTTTCTGTGGCGCATTACTTGATGCTCATAATGTACCAAGTTTTTGTTTCAATAAATATCAATAATACCATTTAAAATATCTTAAAAATTGTGAACTGTGATTAAAATACATCATATTTTGTTTAACTTTTCTTTCAGACCAGCAAACAGGGTATAGCAAGTTTAGTGAATACAGTTTATCGATCTGTCACATCCTATTTATCTCCAGAGGATCGTGGTAAAATGTTGGCAAAGCTCACACGGAACTCCAGTGTACAATTCTGTAAAATGTTTTGGAGTCTAGCAGAACTACGCGTGATATCTGAAGGTCCCAATGTCATTTTACCGTCTATGGCTGTGGCTCATTCTTTCAAAATCCAGACAATACCATTAAAAATGTTTTCAAATAATCAAAGTGAAGAAAGCGATAAAGGTAGGTACACTTTAAAAAATAAAAGAAATTTGGATTGATTTTAAAACTGATCACACTGAATAGAATTATCTCCAAGTAAGGGTCCAAAACATGTGGGTTAATGTGCCTAAAAGTAGGCTACTAGCTGATGACGCTAAACTGTCTACCTAAAACCTCTATTAGCGGAGTAAGTTTCAAGGTCTTAACTCCCACCCGCCCCACCCAATGACAGTTGAATGCCTAGTCCAATGAAGCAAAGTCCCAGGTATTTACAAGTTAATTGTGAATACAGATATTAAGTAATTTAGAAATTTATCGGAAAAGTTTTCCGGGATGTTAAGAACCATTGGCTATTAAACTGTCATCCCCCCCGCACATTACTATTCCTTGCCTTGCACATTTCTCCTTGTCATAGGTCTTTTAAATACCTTTTTCTCTCTGTCATTTGTCTATCATTGTGTGCTATATGGAGTGTGGTAACATGCATTTCTGCACTTCTGTGCAAATTCTATGTTGAAACCCAGTCAGTTATATTAGGTTTAAAGTTTTCAATTATTAGTGTGAAGGAATTTGATTGGTGGTATCAGGTTGAATCAGGAACGGACATCAGTTAGAGAACCACTGAAAATCAAGGGGCATTGGATAACTGTTTCTAGTCTGGGACTTTTCACTCATCACCCCACTAGAGTTTGAACCTCGGGACCTATAGCTTGTGAGGTGAGTCCGTTGACCACTCAGCCATTGAGATGAGATCCAGTGACCCATGATCTCTTTTATTTTATTCCTTCACGTTCCCAGTGGAACATAGGGCGGCCTCAAGCTAGAGACTTGAAGTTTCGGTAGCAGTGGTGTTTGTTTTACGGGATAGGGTTGCTAGCCCCATGCCCAACCTTTCAACCCTCTTTACCAGTCTTATTACTGGCTTAGCGAGGTAAAGGAGTGCGTCGCCGGCCGAGGGTCGAACCCCGGACCACATGCATGGTCGGCGAGTATTTTACCGTTGTGCCACCGATGCATGATCTCTGACTTCTGCTAATACGCGATATATATACAGCACACCGCTAGCCAATGTCATTGTTGAGTGTTTGTCCTAATGTGCCCCATTTGTCACGACTTCTTACTAGAATTGCGGGCAACTTCATTCTGTAGTCAGTCACTAGTCAGCATTAGATGATTAGTCTTCAGATATTGGGTTGCAGGGATTTGATTGGTTTCAAGTTAGATCATAAGTTAGTTGACACAGAGAAACATTAAAAACCACTGAGTGTGATGTACAGCGGTTTTGTCTTAGTTTGTATCTCTTCTGCAGTACGCAAACATGGAGCCTCACCGCTTTGCACTAATTTATCGGACAGAAATAGCCCCTAGAAATTACTTGCCCTTAGAGTTTAGAATGCAGTTACCCGGAACAGATTTCCCATGTAATAAGCAGTGAATTGCATTCATTCCATAGGGTGTGGTGTACACGGAGAGGGATTCTTACACTGAACACACTGGCTAGAGGGCAAATGTCTATGAGGCACACTCCCACTGGTCTTCTGTTTCTTTTTTCATTCCTACGCCTTCCGAGTAAAAAAACAGTACTTCAAGATTCTTTTTTTGAAGTTTCAGTAGCAGTGGCGTTAGTTATTGTTACGGGTTGGGTCTATTATTCTCACGCCTTTAACTTTCATTCGTTTCTGGGCTTACTACCGACTATGTGAGGTTCAGGAGTGTGTTGGTGACCGGAAATCTGATCTGGACCCATCGCGGGGCTAGCAACCATTCTAGCATTCAACTACCAACGCACAATAAACCTCTAAGCATCACTTATTCAAGGATTTTATGCATTGATGCCATGTCTTGATCCTACCACCTGTAACTTTTCCAGCCTAATCTTATATCGACTAACATCGCTTGGCATAGAAAGCGATGGCTTGGGAGTCAAAACCGTTTTTCAAGCCTTGTAAGTACGTCTTCACCCACCCTTATCAGGAAAGCTTGGCTACACACATGCCAACTGGTATATAATGTGGAATGCGATGTGGTCATATGTGAAGCATTGAAGTTTGTGTTGAAGCGCCGTGTGGATGGCTTTTTCTATAACTGTAAGACAGGTCACAGTATGTTTTAAGGATGACAGATGGTGGTCTGTCTCAACACATAGTTTTGTTTCTTGCCTCTCTGTAAAATTGTGGTGAGAGCTGTCTGCTGGCATATTGGTTGGTAGACAGCAATTTACGTCCCAGATCTAGGTCATGAGAAAAAAACAAGAACAAAGACTAACTCAACAACCAATCACAGCAGACTTTGCGTGGGCGGATACGATTCGCAGGTATATGGCCACAGAGAGATGATAGAATGACTTTCAGCGTGAAAACAACCAATCAGAAGATGCTGTTTCTCTGCTACCAATAACGAATAATAATGTACATAAAATATATATATGTATCTGTTGATTTTCTCAATAAACGATCTGTTGCCTGGCCCTTGTCTTCTGTCGTTACAAGGTAATTTAATTTAAACATCTTTCTTTAGGATGAGGTAAACTGTAGGCCTCGAAGTTAACTGTCCTTTATATTAGTTTTAGAACTTCATAAGACAACTGTTTTCTACAGGTGGTATATCAGTCAATATATTCTATACGAATTATGAAAATGAATAAGCTTAACTAATGTTATTTTCTGTCTCTACCTCGTAAGAGTATTATTACATTATCATTATAGCCTTGGGTTCGGAGTGGAACACATGACTTTAGCAGTACATCGCCATTTCACTCTGTCCCCTGCAGTCTTTTTTTAGCTGGCTCAACAACTACCCATAGGCTTTCATTTTCTCCTCATATGATTTCCTCCATGTCACCCTTCGACGCTTAACTCGTCTTTGTCCATCTGGGTTCCACTGACCACTTGGCGCGTGGTGTCACTCAACGGGCTCCCCAACGTATGTCTTAGTCATATCCATTTCTTTTCAGGAAACGGGTTCTTAGTTGGTTCGTCGGCAGAGTTCCTTGTCGCTTATCCTTCCCAGTTGGCCGTCGGCTCCTCAGAATAGAACGAAGATTAACTGTTGGAAATAGTTTTCATGACTAACCAAGTCACTAATTTGACATTAGTGTGGAAGATGTGAATCTTTCTTATGCTGAGTGCAGTGGATTTCTGCACTGATTTCAGAGTAACGAAGGTTCGCCTTGCTTTTGCGAACCTGGCCTGGCTTCGACATCCGTTGAACTGATGCCATCTTCCATAGTTCCTCACTGGACTGTTAAAGATGCGGTAGGGAAATTTCCAGTGACACATGTTTTCCTTGATATGATTATGAGCAATAAATTGTGCTCGAGACGTCATCAGTAAACATTACTGTATAACACTGTGAGACTTTATCAAAACAAAATTTACCCATAATGGAATTACACATGTTTTCCGTTTTTGGAAATTCGGTGAAAATAAATTTCCTTTTCAAACCTCCTTGAAACTACTAGGACTGAAGAATATAAAATAAAAAATAAAATACACTCTCATATATGAAAAATATTTCATGTGGAAACTCATTAACCTATAAAAATGATCCCTTTTAAATTGACAGAACCTCTTCTACTGTAATATTGAAATCAATGGCTGTCACACACACACAAAAAAAAGGAAATCAACCGTGTCAAATACACAGAGTGAATGGCCTGGCCTGACACATAAACTGATTTTCTGAATTTTCAATGGAGAACTTTGTACATAAGTGTACCAGTTCAACTGGTCACATTGCATATAGCACACAAAGAAGATATTTGAAAGAGGTCTAATGAATGGGAATATACGGGAGAAAGAATAATCACACGGAGTAATAAGAGGACTTAATGAATCTCAAAGATTACAAAAGGTGGGTGCATCTGCGCCATTGAGAGAACTGTTTTGAGCCATGCCACCTACAGTTTCCAGCCATTTAGTTCTTAGCACCCTGAGGACTCCAACCACTTAGTCTACACCCTCTCTCCCTATATGACTCAAAGCAACAGTCAATAGCTAGCTACTTGAGCCTAACTTTTTTCAAATTTAATCCTATGTAGGTTAACATTACTTGACGTGGAAGGCGATGACGTGGCATGCGTAGTACGTTTCTGAATCATCTCATTCGATGCCTGACCTGATAGAATACAACGCCGGATTACCTGTAAGGTATACGGATGTCAGCAAAAATAGAAATTCGATTAATCAAAAGCGATACAGTGATAAAATAAGTTACCGTCAAGATCTTACGGACATGTGAAGTTGTCGCCCCATTGGTTTAGGCACTCAACTTCCGATCACTGGATTGCAGGTTTGAACCAAGGTTTTGGGCAGGTAAGTAGTATCATTAGCCCGCAAAAAATCGGTGTGGGTCATTGCCAACTGCTTTGAAATGCAAGTAGTGTAACGACAGAAGACAAGGGCCAGGCAACAGGTCGTTTATTGATAAAATCAACAGATATTTATAGATGTTTATGCACATTATTATTCGTTATTGTTAGCAGAGAAGCAACGTCTTCTAATTGGTTGTTTTCACGCTGATGGTTATTCTGTTGTCTCTTTGTTGCCGTTTCTTAGACAGTCCGTTGATATTTCTGCTAATCGTATCTGCCCACGCTAAGTCTGCTGTTATTGGTTGTTGAGTTAGTGTTTTGATTGGACACTAGTAACTAGTGTGACGTGTCTAGTCCTTTCTTTGGTGCAGACTGAATTCTATCAGTCAGGTTTGCCATGTGGCCACCACTCTAGGTAGCTCGCCAACATGGTGCATATTGATTTGATGATATTGGATAGTTGGAGGCAATCGGCAGGAAGCCTTGCTTGACCTAGGTTTCGTGCTAGTTGGCACTCATCAGCAAGGTCAATCGCTAGTCCGAATAGCTCAGTGGTAACGTTTCTGACTGGGTGACGCGGGTTCGAATCTCAGAAGAGACATGAGTTCCTCCAAGGTTGCAGATACGCCTTGCTAATGAATGCCAACTAGTCACAGTGTTATACAGTAATGTTTCTGAATGCACTAGCATGAAACCTAGGTCCAAGTCTTCCTGCCGATTGCCTCCAACTATGTAATATCATCAAATCCATATGTTGAGTTAGTCTTTGTTCTTGTTTTTTTCTCATGACCAAGATTTGGGACGTAAACATTGACGTCAATTGTTGTCTACCAATTTTGGCTAGCAGACAGCTCTCACCACAGTAGTTGTCGAGTAACATTTTACATGAATATGTGTAAACTATAGAAGTTGTAGAGAATTAGTGGAAGTATTCACCGATTCCTACCAAATGTAAGATTCTGTAGGACTGGTCTGCACCGACTCCTAGTTTAAAGACAAGAAATGAAGTGGTAGAGCGTACTGACGACTTAAGTCATTCGTAAAGTTCCATCAGCCCCAACAGGCTGATTACTGACGGAATATCAGCATGGATACAAAAGGCTCGCTTGGGATTTGCCAACTTACTCCATCTCCGGCGTAGACATGATATTCGGCTTTCGATCGAAGGATGTATGCACTGCACAGCAGTTCACTCTGTCCTCCTTTATATGGCTGTGAGACATGGCCATTGAAAGTGGGAGACATGAGAAAGGTAACTGTCTTTGACCACAAATGTTTGCATTGTATCTCCCGCGTAACGTGGTGTAGTAGTATGATGAGTAATAATGAGGTTAGGTGTAGAGTGTTAGGTAAGGCAAGGAAGTCAATCTATGCGGTTGTAAAGCTACGCCGATTAAGATGGATAGGACACGTGTTACGCATGCCAAGCCGCTGCTTTCCTTGACGACCAATGTTAGCTAACATGGGGTTGATTTGGATTAGAGTTAGGGATGATCAGACTGAAGCGTAAAGTCAGTCGATGTTTTCCTTGACTTCTGGTTTCAGTCAAGTTGGGAGGCATAGACTACCTGGTTGTGGACCTCAGGATGCTATAAATCAATGGCTGGAGACAACTGGTGATATGGTTCAAAATCGTTCTCATTGATGCGCAGATGCACTCACTCTTTGCAATCTCTCATTTCCTTTCCATTAAACTCTCATGTTCTCCCTCACATTTCTGCTGATTATAGTTCTCTTGAATCCCTTTTGTCCCTCTTCTTTTTTTACTTTGTGTGCTACACAGAGTGTGGTAATTTGAACTGGTGTACTTCTCTGCAAAGTTCTATGTTGAAACTGAGTCAGCCGCGACTTGCAGAGTTGTGCTCTCTATTCTTATGGGCTACTCATCTATTCATAAATGGCTCAGAACTTCATATTTTTTTCCTTCACGTTCCTCAGTGGAACATAGGGCTTCAAGCTAGTGGCTTGAAGTTTCTGTAGCTGTGTTTATTTTACAGGATGGGGTTGCTAGCCTCATGCCCAACCTTTCCTCTTCACCAGCATTATTTCTGGCTTAGCGAGGTAAAGGAGTGCGTCGGTGGCCGGGGATCGAACCCCGGACCATGTGCATGGTCGGCGAGCGTCCTAACCGCTATGCCACCGACGCACATTTACGCTCTTACATACGAAAAGATATTTTCTCTACTCGAGTGATTTTCAGTTACTCTTCTCTTGTCGTTTTTTTGTTTTGTTTCTTTTCTTTTTAGAATTTGTTGAAATAGAAACGCCTAAATCACATATTGGTATAACACCATTACAAATGCGTGTATTGTCGCGTCATCTTAGACCTGGTCTCGAATGGACACGTGGCAATGAACTGCCGAACTTCTTTTTTTCACAATCATCATCTGAGCATAAAATACCAGAAAATTGTTATCAACGGTCGAATTCAGTCCAGTTGCCTACCTTTGGATTATTTTCACCAAGAAATTCTTTGAATACATCTTCGTTAGGATCGAAAACACCAACGCCGAATTATCGTCGACGTTTTACATATGCTAATTTGAGAGGATTAAATCCTACTGGGAATGAGGATAGTTCATCCTCATCACCAAGTGTTAAAAGATCGCCATATTTATTGTTCTATATACACGGTGGCGGATTTATTGCATTGAATTCTCAATCACAAGATGTAAGTGAATGCCGTAAACTTTGTATCTACACTAAATAGTTTGTGTAAAAGCCTTCATAAACGAGATGGTACAGCCGAGAGTGGCTAGCCTTCAATCTTCCTCCCTAAATGCTCTCTCTCATGTGGACACGCGTACATAACTTCTGTCAGGTAAGTCTAGTTCACTGCTGTCTAACGGTTGGGGTGTTGCTCACAAAAGTGAGAGGGTCAATGCGAATGTCTGGCGTTTACAACAGGGACTAGTGGACAGGGGAGGAACTGGAAAACCCTGATTCCAAATTCACAGTGTACAAGGGCTCCAGAATACGGACGGATCGAATGGTGTATGGATCTGTTTTGGTCACCGGCCATCATGCGAACGCTGTTCCTCTGCACTGTGAATCAGACTTCAAGTCAAGGGCTTGGGGAGGGGTGGCTCCTTAAGACAACCATCTGTTTCAGTTTGGAAATTTGGGGAACATTTGATCCTCCGTCATTTAGAGAATCATTAAAAACTATCAGGAAGTACTGGAGAGCTGTTTCTTCTTATTTTTGGGACTCTTCAGCAGTACACACCCCTAATCCCTCATTGGATCGAACTCGAGATCTTTAGATTACAATGCTAGTCAGTTGACTATCCAATGAGTTAGAATTCAATGACGACTTGCGATTGCTAACTTCTGTCAATGTATCCAATATAGCACCACCGTCAGCCAATGCTGTCAACGAGCATCCTCTTCACTCTGGCATGGTAGGCATGATGTAAGACTATACGGCTGCAGTACAATTTTTGAAGTCTTTCAAGCATTCGAATGTTACTTGCTGAGATACATTCAAAGAATCCTATGACCTCAGTCGTCAACTTTTCTGTTCTATTTGGGAAGACTCAGCTGGGTGTGCTGTACTCGTATCCTACGCAGCAGGTGACTGTGTTCCCACTGAAAGTCAAACTCAACACACTGATCTTTTTAAACACCGAAGTGTTATCCTCTGGGTGACATGAGACATCTTTTGTACAACAGATATTGGCTGTTATTTGTGTTTAAGTCTCTGGGAATGGAGGTATTGTCAAGGAACTTAACCCTAAGTTCCTATTATTTGCGAAGACGCTCCGAATCGATAATTACTATGACCGATTATCGACTTTAACTCCAAAACACAAGGACTTGTAATAAATTATATTCTTCGGCAGTTAAATTCGATATCGTTACAAAGTCTATAAACAAATGTTTTACAAAGAATGTATTTTACTTTTATTCATATTCTTTCGTCTTCTTCCAACTTGTACACGATTGAATCATTTGTGCGTCTTCGAGTTGCTCGCCAATGGTGACCAAGGTCAATGTTCCCATTCATTTACAGGTACATACAGCTAACGAGTCTTGGATTTCAATGCTAGCCACCGTTAACGAAATTACATCATGTTAACGATAATACATCGTTGAAAAGTCCGTACTTGTTGTCGACATATCAACAGAAACTGATAATTTTGGTCTAAAGATGTGAACCAAATTCGCAATTTTCAGTATACACAGTTTGAGGTGGAATTTCACTACAGTTTCCTTTTGGAACCCGAAATTATTCAGATCACAAAATATTTGATCTGCTTAATTACCATCAATGAAAATCAAGATAGAAAGCATAAATGCACCGTCTACTACCTACTGCTGATTAATTAATGAATAGTTCGAACTGATTTGACTCTCTTTGTTAAGTCAAACCGGGTACACTGATGATAAGTTCGACTACAAACTATGGAATAGGCCGTCGGGTGTTTAGATCGCTTTGATCTGGTTGACTGGCAAGTGCCACCAGTTCACCTGAGTGCTATTCAACTACTCATGTCAATCAATCAATGGAATACACAAAATATGCGGTTTTAGTGTGACCGCCAGCCACTGTCATCGGTGATTATTTGTCCTCGCACCCCACCTGTGATCGACCTCTCACTGGTCATGACTTCTCTCACCAGCCATCACGCTATAATAACGAAGTGACAGAGGTAAGTATCTTTGATCATAGGTGTCTGCGTTCTATCTCCCGTGTGAAGTGGTATAATAAGGTGAGCAATATTGAGGTTAGCCATCTGTCGAGTGTTAGGTAAGGAGGGAAAATCAATCAACGAGGTTGTGAAGTTACATAGATTGCGATGGTTAGGACATGTGTGACGCATGCCTAGTCATCGCCTTCCTCGATAATGGACAATGTTAGCTGATATACGGTCAGGCTGGAAAAGAGCTAGCAGCGGTCAAACGAAAACATGGCACCAGTCAATGAAATCCACAACAGCTAGTTTAAGGCAGTCACGTTGGGAGGTTTGGGTCCTCGGGACGGTAAAAACCACTGACTGGAAACAATTGGTGACAGGGCTCAAAATCGTTCTCAATGGCTAGCGCAGATTCATCCACTCCTTGTGACTTATGATTTCCGATGAAACTGTTTTGTTCTTCGTTATTACTACTCCTTTGTCTCACACCTCTGTTTACTGTCTATATTATGCATTTCTCCTACTTTCTTCTCTTGCTTTGTGTGCTACAAGGAGGGAGTGTGGCGACTTGAACTGCCGCACATAAGTGCAAAGTTCTATATCGAAAACAGACAGACAGTCTCGTAATATGGAAGGTTTCGGGTTCGATCCCTGGTGGGAATCGGGAGTGCTTATTGTTGAAGAGTCCCAAACCAGGGTAAAAGACAACTATCTGTTCACTACTCCATGTTTTTCAGTGGTCCCTTACCGATTTGTGATTGAGCTTGAAACAAGTCAAATCCATACAGACTAACTCTTGAAAATACAAAATGGCTGTAACACTGGAAGGTATAATAATAATAATAATAATTTGCTTTATTCCAAAACAGTACTTGTGATACAGAATGGAATTCTCAGCATTTTTACTACAGTATTGCATCCAGTTAGTACATTTTCAATAAATAGAATTCTACATAGATTGAGGAAACCAACAGTTCATTATTACAACAATACATTGGCATGTCAGTAGCAAAGGTAAAGCTGAAACAGTGTTTGAAGGTGTTAGAAAAGTGGGAGCTGTCTTATTAACAGGCGTAAGCGAGAGAAAGAGACAAAGCAGCACATAACGGAAAAAGAAGAGAGAGAAAAGGAAAAGAAAGAAAGAAAATGTTGTACATATTGATGATGTGGGTTGGAAAGACGAGATCCAGTTGTACTACGCTCGTATTTAACAGGCTGTGTTTAATGTGAGAATTTTCGCAATTATTTTCTATTTGTTGTGTTTATGTAGATAAATGTATTCGTTTTTTTACCTTCTTCTTATTGTAGAATTTCCTGCGTATATGGGCTGAACAATTAGACTGTCCAATTTTAGCTGTTGACTATTCCCTTGCACCTGAAGCGCCATATCCTCGTGCATTAGAAGACTGTTATTATGCCTATTGTTGGGTTGCATTGAATCGTGAACATTTAGGCTGTACACCGGATGCACGTATTGTTCTTGGCGGTGATTCAGCTGGTGGTAATCTAGCCTTAGGTGTATGTATGCGTGCACTACACGACGGTATACTTGACAGTCCTGTTGGCTTATTCTTAGCCTATACACCTGTATTGGTCTCTCTTACACCATCACCATCGAGGTTACTGTCTCTGTGTGATCCTTTACTACCGATTGGAGTGCTTTCTAAGTGTTTATTAGGTAAGTCACTGTGTTATTGGATATATTTCTATTTTGGAGTAGACCAGAGACATACTTTGTGTTGTGGGTTTGTGGTTTATTGATTGAATTCTTGCCAACCATCCATGTGGTCTGGGGGTTCGATTGCCGGCTACCGACGTACTCCTAAACCTCAACTGCTTTACCAGCCGGTAGTGAGTCCGGAAAAGGGGGAGGGTTGGATGGGAAACTAGCCACACTACTGCCACTGAAACTTCTCAACCACCAGCGGGGTTAGACAGGATTACCCAATCTCTCCATTTCTCTTTAACTTTGTGCCATCGATGAAATTTTGGAGACACTTCTGGAGGGTATTTTTGGTGGTGGCGTAGATCTGCTTCCCGGAGAAAGACTTTTCAGCCTGTAGTATGCAGACGATATTGTCTTACTAGGCAATAAAATGCAGGCTGCCTAAATCTCATTTAACCAGTTGGCGATCAGTATCTGTAATTATGGTGTGTGCTTTGCGGTATATCAGTGCCAACTATTATTGCAAGATTAGCAGGAGCCTGTACCTGCACTCACTCTGGAAGGTGAGTTCGTGTATATAGGTAGTTGTGTGAGTGGCGGAGGAGATGTGACAGATGAGACCACTAACCATATAGTAAAACCATGGTGGTATGCGCCAACCCGGACCACCTCTGATACCTCTAAGGTATTAGTGTGGCTGTCAAAGGTCAGGTTTACAATGCTTCAGTGAGCGTAGCTTCGCTCTACATCTGTGAAACCTAGCTTCTCCGAGCTGAGGATGTGCAGTGACTCTGGATGTTCGATCATCTCTGTCTGCGTAGAAATGCTTGCATCTGATGACATAATCATGTGAGTATTTCTGAGGTCAGGAAGCATGTGTTTGGATACTGTAGAGATTGTCTTCCATTGTCATCTTGTGACACCGGCTTTGATATGTGGTACTGATGTCATCCCATTGGCTTCCACACCGCTGGTCGTTTGCTAGCTCTGGGACTGCTGGGTGTTCAAAACAGAGGGGGATGGTCAGACTATGATTTGGCACCGTGGAATGAAGGATAGTTGTGTCGCATTAGCATCAATAGGTGTGCACCACGACACTCTGGATGGAGTCAGGGAGATAGTTGATCAGATATGACAGAGAATAGTCATTAATGGCCAACATGCTTCAGTTTCCTCGTTTCCTCCCTTTCTGAAAGTAACATAAAGTAAAGAAGTATTGTTTGGGCGAAGTACAAGAATAGCGTCCCAGGAGTGCGAACGCTCAAATGACCTTGAACGCTTGCCAGTCGTTGGTTGAAGAAACTTACCATTATTCTAGCGCGAAAATGAACGGTGTTCATCTGCTGAGATGCAAATTTCATCCAGATCACGTTTTTCAATACTGCTTAGATAATGGATTAATAGGACGTACTAGGATATGTAGTTGTGGTGCTTCTATGAACCTGCAGCCGTATACCCAAGTCATTGATGGATATATATTTAGATGTACACAGTGTAGGAAACGAATAAGTGTTCGTACTGGTAAGTGACACTCTCAGTTAATTGTCTTCTAGGAACTTTCTTTGAAACTTTCGTTGACCAATATCCTGTTTCTGTCCCATTACTGGATTTTAAAGTCCGGGGTGCGATCAACTGCGGCTCAGACAGACAACACGTTAACGTCTACTGTGCAATGGTTCCAGTTTTGTCGAGATTTAGCGTCGTGGAAAATGAATAGTATTACTCAAGTGTTAGGAGGAGTCGGTGTGGTCGTTCATATCGATGAAACGGTCCTTATAAAGAAGAAGTACAATCGAGGACGTGCAAGAGCGAATAACGTTTGGGTTCTGGGAATTTACGAATTTACCCAGATTCGGAAAGGATTTATCGAACTTATTCCAGATAGGAGTGCAGACACACTTCTCCCTATTATTCAGAGGCTTGTCTTGCCAGGCACTACCATTCACACGGATGAATGGGCGGCATATAACCGATTATCGGATTTGGGATATATACACCACCGAGTTAACCATTCTTTCTGATGACTTCGTCGATCCCAGAACCGGTACTCATACGAATTCAATAGAAGGTTTCTGGGGAAGACTCAAAAATAGAATAAGAGCTATTAACGGCTCTCAAAATCAAGTTATTTTTAGTCATCTAGATGAATACATGTACAGGAATTGGTTTAATTTAAAAACTGACACTCCCCATTATAATTGGGACATTTTTTTTATCTCGTATTAGACAAAAATACCCTGTTTAATGTGTTTTTCATGCTTTTTATGTAAATATACGTAATTTTTTGTGCAAAAATCCTCCATTTTTCTGATTGGTCGGCTCAAGGTCACTCGTGCGTTCGCATCCCTTGGGACGCTATTGTAGAACTTTGCCGTTGTTTGAATGGTCTTGACAAATGCCTTTATATCATTTTATTTACTGTAATCCATTTCTCTTCCGTTTTTTTACTGTTTATAGCCTACGCTGGAGTTGATGAAGCCACTTTAAATCTTGAAGATGCTTCTTCTTCGTCGTCTGCTGCTTCTGATGCCAAAATTGTTGACAATTCTACAAATCTTGAAAGTAAAGAAAACTCACCAAACAGTCCATTATGGTCACGTTTAGCCTCTAGACTATGGTATGGTACATCTAAAGGAGAAGAAGAAGAAGAAGACGAAGGCATTAATACGAATAAGTCGTCCCACTTACACAGATCTTCAAATGCTGCTAAAGCGCATTTTCGAAATCATAGAGATCATTCTATGCCGAGTAATCTATCCTTATTGTTGAATCAACGATCTCATTCGATAACACCACTGACCAATCCTAACACTTATCGTAAGCCTTCAAAGTTGAATGAATCAGGTGAGTGTTCAAAATTTAAGTATTCTATAGTTTCATACACTTATTTCCCTTTATTATGAATTATTGAGTAAAGCAAGAACAGAAGTTTGAGCGGTACCATCATTTATTCCGTTAGGACATGTGTTACGTATGCCTAGTCATCGCCTTCCTCGACGGGCAATGTTAACTGATATAGGGTCTGGCTCGAAAAGAGCTAGCGGCGGTCAAACCAAAACATTGCCTCATCAGTCAATGAAATCTACAACAGTTAGTCTAAGCCACGTAGGAAGGTGTAGACTTCCTGATGGTTGGGGTCCTCGGGACGGTAAAAACCAATGGTTGGAAACAATTGGTGACATGGCTCAAAATCGTTCTCAGTGGCTCAGATGCATCCACTCCTTGTGACTTATGATTTCCAATGAAACTGTTTTGTTCTTCGTTATTACTATTCCTTTGTCTCACACCTCTGTTTACTGTCTCTATTATGCATTTCTCCTACTTTCTTCTCTTCCTTTGTGTGCTGCAAGGAGGGAGTGTGGCGACTTGAACTGCCGCACATATGTGCAAAGTTCTATGTTGAAAACAGATAGATAGACCATCATTGTTTATTTCGTTGGTTTCTCATCATCTGCTGCCTATAGCCTAAAGAAATCATTATTAAGGTTATGTACAGAAAAGCCTTAATATACTTACACATTTTACATGATGTCAGTTGACAGAAGGCTCCAAACTTAATGAACAGTACTCATCCCAGAAAGTTCATGTTTAAACAAAATCCCTACGAAACCAATACTTGAAAATTAATCTGATGCTCACTAGCGGCTAGCCCTATTCAGGTAGGCAGTGACCTGGGGTTCTAGTGGGAAGTCGTGACCAGTAGGGTACAGCAGGTTGTAGGTGAGGCAGTAACTCATCGAAGAAGACATTGCGAAATGGTCGTGCAATGTCGTGAATTGGCAGAAGTTGGAATTCATGGACTGGCCATTGAATCGGGTATCCCATTGGCTTAATGGTCTACGAGCTAGCTCGCTGGGCTTGTAACCAGAAGGTCGTGGGTTCGAACCGCTGGCGGTGGGTGCGTACTGATGAAGAGTCCCAGACTAGGACGGAGGAAACAGCTGTCTGGCAGTACTCCCTGAAGTTTTTCCAATGGTTCTCTAACCGATTTCATCTCATGATGAAATCCTCCATCCATTTAAACAAAAATATATGTTTGCACACAAAAGTTAGGGAATTAATTAATAAGGACAAGTTGTAAGATGATGAGTAACTAAGACTTGAGTAAGAACAGTATGGTGAGTTCAACTCATATCATACAAACAAGAGACAAGCAAAGTAACAATGTAGGAATAATAGGGAGAGGTTAAAGGCAAAGATTACGTAATGAAATGAAAGAGGGAATAAAGACATCCAGTTACCATGTCATGGAAGGACTGGTAACTGTTTCTTTCTGAACGCATATATCGGGTTTCTTTTTTTGATTTTTTGATTACAGCTTGATTCCACACCGTAATTTTGGTACAAGTATGGAATTCTCAGCATGCGATATTGGTAGCCAAAATTTTGCAGGCCGACCATAGATATCAGGTGTGCGTCGGCAGGGAGTCGAATCCCGGACCATATGCATGGTCGGCGAGAGTCCTAACCACTGTGCCACCGACGCACGGAAGTTTGATAGTGACTGCTTTGTCAAACCTGAGGAGAAATGAGCTATTTCGTCCACTGAGAATTTTAAAGCGTTTCACGATGTCCACCTCATCACCGGTACTGGTGAGATGTCTGGTAAAATAATGGCATCATTGAAAACATTTGTCCCCTTGAGACGTAAGCATTTTGGTGCATGTTGAGAAAATTGGAGGTGTGCCCTTCTTTCTGTTCCCCCAAATGTAACTGCTACCACAAATGCAAGTAAATTTGTGTACACAGTTAGAGTTAACATGAGAAGGATATCTATCGACTTTTGATTGCACCAGAGAGCTTATTGTTCTGATGAACGGGGACCAACTTAGCTGGAAGGGATAGTTTCTTGCTAGTGTGATGTTCAATCTTCTGTCAAATATTCCTGCAATATAACATCACCTTTAAAATCGATTCGAATGAAGATAGGCTTCTTTTTTCCACTGTGATTTGTTTGACATCTGAGCCTTCACATCTCTAAGGATAACCGTTTTTTTCAACATCTTTTCGGGAATCATAAATTCTCCCTCTAACTTTTCTATAGAGCATATTATCCTGACTCTATGAAGGGAAGTTTTGACTAGTGCTCGTTTGTAGCCATTTGGACGAAAACTATTTATAATGTAATTTTCTGAGCATTGTTCATTAAGTTTGGAACCTCCTGTCAACTGATGTCATGTAAAATGTGCATGAATGTGAAAGTTGTTCTGTAGATGAACTTAATAATGATTTCCTTAGGCTGTAGAGGTAGCTGATGAGAAGCCAACGAAATAAACAATGATGGTACCATCTTATTCTGCACAAACTGTTATTCTGTAATTTCTGTAATTTCCTAGGAAACATTATGTATGATTGAATGACACCTGGGTTCCAATCTCAAAGTGGATATCAGTTCCTTGGCGATGAGTGTCTTCAGTAAGCACTAAACCTTAATTCATCGCTTCCTACCAATCGCCTCCATCCATTTAGCCCTAAGCAAATTGGTGAGTCACCTATCTTGGTGACGACGTCGCAAACTTGACTGATAGAATTCAGCTAACACCCAACCCTAGAGACTGTAGACACTATCTACTGGGTGTGTACTGCCGATGAGTCCCAAACTAAGAAAAAATGGTTGGCTTTTAATGGTTCTCTAACTGATTTCAATCCGTGATCGAACTTGAAACAAATCAAATCGCTACAGACCGACTCTTAGAAAAAATTATGTGATGCTCGGTAGTGATTGGCTACAGGACGAAGTTGCCTGGAGTTTTAGTTATTATATATTTTATTTAAACGCAGAAAAAAACTTGGTATAATATGGCATCAAGACGATGCGCCATACAGTGATAATAAAAATAGATTAAGAGTAAAAATACAGGTGGAGAACGGATAAAGAACTTCATCTGGAAGGAAAACAGTCATACTCAACAAGTTCAAAAAGCATTTGTCAACCATCATCGGGAAGTGAAGAAAGAAGGAAATTGCAGCACGTTCGCCATTGATTACGATTCTTGGCCATATCCGATAACGTTTCGAGCCATCGATTTGAGCTATCTCTCAGACCCCAACCAGGGAATCGTGATGCACCAGCTGATGCTAACCTAAAGCAAATATCCTTCATCCCACGACGCCACGTCATGGACTGACCACCCCTCCGCCTTCTCCACCCCGTCCCAGGGCTAGCGAACAGAGACCTGTACGGAAGCCTCTGGGATGACATTCGCAGCACATGTCCAAGTCACCGGAGCTGGTGTTTCGAGATGACGACACTCAATGAATGGTGATCTCCACTGTGTTCAAACACACGCCGCCGAACCTCAAAACTACTCACGCGATGATGCCATCGAACGCAAGCAATCCTGCGGAGACAGCGATGATCGAACACGCAGAGTCGCCGCACATCCTCAGCTCGGAGAGGCCAGGTTTCACAGGCGTAGAGCGAGACAGCCCGCACCGAAGCATTGTATACCCGACCTTTGACAGCCAGGCTAACGTCGCGACGGCGCCAGAGGTGGCTCAAGTTGATGTATGCCACCCTAGCCTTCATTATACGGTTGGAAATCTCATCCGTCAGCCCTCCGCCAGCACTCACACAACCACCCAGATACACAAACTTATCAACAACTTCAAGCGGTTCATCCGCAAGAGTGAGTGCAGGTACAGGCTCCTGCCAATCTTGTAACAGTACTTCGCACTTAGACGGTGCAAAGCACATACCATACTCACAGACACTGATCGCCAACTGATTAAGTGCGATTTGGGCAGCCTGCATGCTATCGCACAGTAAGACGATATCGTCTGCATACTCGAGGTCGAAAAGTCTATATCCAGGTAGCAGATCTACACCACTTTCACGCACATCCTTCAGAGCTGACTCCAGAATGTCATCGATGGCAAAGTTAAAGAGAAATAGAGAGATTGGGCAACCCTGTCTAACCCCACTGTTGGTTGGGAACAGTGATGATAGCTGGTTGTATGTCCTCACTCTACCTGAGGAGTTTTAGTGGTAAGTCGTGACCAGTGCGGGTGCGTGCTGTCGATAGTGCGGACAAATACTTGCCGATGGTACTGGTTGATGATCGCGCTGAAATCACGTTTTGGTAGAAGTTAGAATTCATGGGTTCGCCGTTGAGTGGGCTCATATTGACTGAATGTTCTACGAGCTTGACTTGTATCTGGTAGGTCCTAGTAGGTGCGCACTGCCGGTGATTAGTCCCAAACGAGGACGAAATGGCTGTCTGGCAGTACTCTCTGATGGCTTTCAATAATTCTCTAATTGATATCAATCCGTGGTTAAAATCGAAACAAATCAAATCCATACAAAGAAACTCATAGAAATGTTGGTTACTCGCTAAGGACCAATCAATGTACTTCCTTATCCAAAAATGTCTTAGATATGTTGGGGAAAATTTGTATGTCAAATGGATGATTTTGGTATGATTGCGTTGTCTGAGGTTGGAGGTGGGTGGTTCTATTGCTAAGCTTTCATTGTCCTTCCTAGACAACATCTTCAGCATAAACTTCAGTATGAAATGAATTTGCTTGAATTCTTATTGAATGATGTCATTAGGGGAAGAAAAAAGCAGGAAGAAGCTTACCAAAGACAACTTTTCAGTCATTTTTAAAAAAAAATTGTGTAATTGACGCACTTGATGAGTGGCTTTAATTAATTTGCATCAGTATTGATCATTTTTTTTATTGACTTGGACTGTGACTTTTATTGATTCATGTGACATTCTTTATAATTAGTTGAAAAGTCTGACCTTTGTAGATATGCGTCTGTGTACTACTGAGTTTCTAGGAATTTTCAGACATTTTTTATGGCTGTGTCCTTTATCTAACTAAGATTTGTACAGTTTCCCAGTTGAATTGGGTGTCCAAAGTTTGTTAGCATAGGTTGATTGGTTGGTGATAGGAAGGAATGGATATCATTATTACTATTTTTTTTTGACAGACAGTTTATGTTTGTAGATGCGTAAATGAGTGATTTTTGAGTTGATCGATCGAGTTGATGGTAGGGATCTTTTGATAAAGTTTTGTGGATATATCCATTTATTTTGGTGTTGGAATGGAAGAAAAATACCTACAAACGGTCTTCAAAAAGAATGGTTATCCACAAAATTTCATCAAAAAGTGTTTAAAGTCGAGTCAAAACACCAACAAAGAACCATCATCAAAGACCGCAAGAAAATTCATCCTACCATACGTGAGAAATATCTCTGAAATAACAGCTAGAATACTGAAACCATTTGATATAGATATAGCACACGAGCCAGTCAAATCGCTTAATTCGATATTATGCAAATCGAAGGATCCAACAGAAAAAGGAGATAAAATTTATACCATTTACAAAATAAATTGTATGAACTGTAAGAGACATTACGTCTGTCAACAAAGTGGGCGTCCCCTTCGAATCAGAATCCAAGAACACAAATCAGCCGTGATAAGACACGATATATATTCTTTAGTATCAATGCATATAGACAATTATGGGCATCAATTTGATTGGGATAATGTCAAAATTTTAGACAGAGGAAACACCAAAAGTGCTAGGGAATTCCTAGAAGCCTGGTACTCAAACGAAAATGCAATTAACAAACACGTTAATGTAGACGAAATATACCAATTAATAGAAAGTAAATCAGGTGACCAGAAAGTTTAAAATCCAAGTCAATAGAAAATGGTCAATACATACTTATGGAAAATTTAAATCAGTTCATACATTTGTTCCCCTTAATGAATTTAAACAAAGCAACAACTACAGATTTAGCAGAATAAAATGGTATCATATTTTATTTCGTCACCTTCTCTTCAGCTGCTTACAGAGCAAAAACATTATTACATGTATCTACAATAATAATTTAACATACTTACACATAGTTCATTTTAAACAGAAATCAATCGATCAATATACACATACACTAATAATATATATATATATATGCAATCTTGAACACAATTCCGAGCATTAATAATCATACAAAATGAAAACTTTTTAGTATCTCGCATTAGGATGAAAAATATCCAGTTACCAGGGCAAAGAAAGACTGATAACTGCTTCTTTCTGAACGCACAAATCAGGTTTTAGGTGCTTGATGGAAAAGGCTTCAGCAAACTTAAGGAGCATTGAACTCTTTTGATTATTGATAATTTTGAATGACTTTTCCACGTCCACCTCATGACCCGTGTTTTTGCCCTGTAAGCAGCTGAAGAGAAGGCGACGAAATAAAATATGGTACCATTTTATTCTGCAAAATCTGTAGTTGTTGCTTTGTTTAAATCAGTTCAGTTTATGCTAAAAATTGCACCGAAGATGTTGTCTAGAAGGACGACGAAAGCTCCGCAACTAAAGAGAACACTACTAATTGATGGTGAAATATATTAATATTATATTATTCATTCATTGTTTGTGTTCCGAGTGGAATATAGAGCCACACTACTAACACTTCTTCGTTGCCATAAGTTCTCTGTTTTCACTTCAATCTACTTCCACGACTTCTCAAAGAGGTTTCCATTTCCTTTTGATGTGATCACTTACTGATTAGCTGAGTGTTACGACTCAAACTACGACCTAGCGGAATATGAGCGAATACGAACTCAGTGCACTGGCTAATCTCTCCTAATCGGACGTCAACAACAACACGCAAAGACAAAAGAAAAGACTGGACGTCGAATAGAAGAGCTTTTACTGTCTCAAACAACAATCGAAATGCTGAACAGAAGCTCTGTATATAAACAGTCGGAATGACCTTGAAAATGCAGTAATTCAGTGATGCATTCAAAGTATTAACAGCTAATAGGAATCGAGCAAATCAAACAGAGGGGAAAACAAAGGTCTCACGCCAGTGCGCGATAACCCCTTAAGTAGTTATTTTTAAGGTTTTAAGCAAAATTAGGCACAACTAAGTGTGTAGATTACACTGTATTATTTTATTCTTTCTGTTTCTTTATAGAATCACACAATTACAATTCGAATCCATCAAGTTGTTGTAGTACAGCACCAGGAAATTATTATCTACCTCAAGAGAGTTTACGCTATTCTAATGATAATTCTACTGAAGAGAGAAACTCTGCTGGTAATCATCTGCCTTGTCGACCGCCTACAGATTTAAATCGTGTTCGAAATATCCCCCTATCTCAAGATGCCTATATGTCTCCGTATTTGGCGTCAGATGATATGCTACGGAAACTGCCGCCAATGGCTATTGTTGTAAGTTTATATGTGTATATAGTTTAATCTTCATGCAGTTATCTACATATAAATTCAATTCAGATTCAGTTGCTGTTTTTTTCATTCCTAACGTTTCAAGTGAAGCACACGACTTCAAGCTTTTTAATTTTTCTTTGTTTTGTGTATCGACGATGTTTTAACGATTAAAGCTGACTTTTTGTTGTATGAACCCGGGAAACTGATCTTTACATCCTATTGTATAAGTATCCGAAATTACCTTGTGACACGAACAAAACGTTACAAAAAGCGCTCCAAAGACAGCGAAAACACTATTGTTCAATTATGGGTGTAAAATTTTATTTTGATAAATCACACAGTGCTGTTATACCTTAATATTAACTGATGACCACGTTTCGAGCACAAACTGTTGATCATAATCATATCAAGTCACTAATCACACAACTTTTTCCTTCATTTATATACAGCGGTTAGGACTCTCGCCGACCATGCACATGGTCCGAGGTTCGATCCCCCGCCGACGCACACCTGATATCTATGGTCAGCCTGCTAAACTTGGGCTACCGATATCACATGCTGAAAATTTCATACTTGTGCCAAAAATACTGTTTGGAATCAAGCTATAATAAAATTTTTAAAAAATGTGTGGAATTGATGATTAGACATTCGAATAAAAATCAATATGGGATAATGTACATTCAGAAATAATATGAGTATTATTGATCAATTACAATCAGATGGGAAATAAGACGAGTGTTTTTATAGTCATAATAAGTTACTTGGTAGAATGTTATGATGTGCATGAATTGAAATAGAATTTTGAGATTATTTATTATCCTCCTCTGATTTGACTGGCGGTAATAATATCTTCCATATTTCCGATATTTGCATTGAGCCATTTCTGTTGCATGTGTTGGGTGTAGACTCGATGAACCAGGCAGGATTCAGTAAACAATCTCTCTCTCTACCCTCTCCCACCATGCTATTGTGTGGTTGTGTGTTAATTGATTTTTATTCAAATATCTAGTCAATTCCACACATGTATATAAATGAAACAAGAAAGTTGTGTGAGTAGCGTCTTGATATGATTATGAGCAGTGTATAAATTGTGCTCGAAACGTGGTCATCAGTTATTATTACTGTATAACAGCACTGTGTGATTTATCAAAATAAAATCTTATCCATAATGGAGTTATACTCTACCATAGTGCCCAGGTTTTATACTTATATCACTATTGTTCCATTATGGGTGTAAAATTTTATTTTGATTAAGTCAAACAGTGTTGTTATACAATAATATTTACTGATGACCACGTTTCGAGCACAATTTATACACTGCTCATAATCATATCAAGACACTACTCACACAACTTTCTTGCTTCGTTTATATATATGAGTTAAAATTGATTAGACATTTGAATAAAAATCAATATAAGTCTTGGTTGAAACAGAAAGGAAGATAAAGTACATTCGGAAACAATATTAGTGTTGTCAATAAAATACAATAGGATGGGAAATAAGATGTTTTTATAGTAAAATAAATAGCTTGTTATAACGTTATGATGTGAGATAAGCTCTGTAGGCTAAAGGAGCTGGTTGACCCGATTAAACAAAATAATATAATTTACAAATTACCTTACAGTGACTGTGAGTGAGGTCAACTACATAGGTCAAACTAGTAGATCAGGAGTAGTGGGATTGTCAGAACATATGAAGTTAGCTATGGTTAGAATGATTGACCCCACGAAGATAAGTAATTTAGAAAAGAACTCAGCAATCGCACTGCATGCATTAACACACAATAGGGTGTTAGTCTACGTAGGTGGAGATAGATAGAAATGGATTACTGAATCCTGGTTCGTCGAGTCTACACCCAACACACCACATGCAACAGAAATGACTCAATGGAAATACCAGAAATATGGAAGTTATTATTACCACCAGTCAAATCAGAGGAGGATAATAAATAATCTCAAAATTCTGTTTCAATTCACATACATTATAACACTCTAACAAGTTATTTATTTATTTTACTATAAAAACATCTTATTTGCCATCTTATTGACTAATAACACTCACCTTATTTCCCATCCCATTGTATTTGATTGATTACACTAATATCATTTCCGAATGTACCTTATTTCCCATTCTGTTTCACGCATATCTTATATTGATTTTATTCAAATGTCTAATCAGTTTTAACTTATGCTATATAAATGGAGGAAGACACTTATGTGAGTACGTTGATATGATTATGAGCAGTAATAAATTATGCTCGAAACTTGGTCATCAGTAAATATTACTGTATGATAATACTGTGTGATTTTATCAAAATAAAATTTCATCTATAATGGAATTATACTCTACTGCTACAGTACCCAAGTTTTATCCTTATATGAATAACACTACTCTGCGTCGATAAATCCATGTCGTTCTATACAAAATTAATAACATCCGAAATTGAAAATTACCTCAACAGTGTTGTTGGGCAGCTGTACATAAAAAGGCAATTTCGGGCTCGAATAGCCTAGTGGTAATGTCTCTGTCTTCAGCACTGGGTGACGTGGGTTCGAATCCCAGAAGGGACATGAGTTCCTTCAAGGTGATTGCAGATACGCCTTGCTGATGAGTACCAACTAGCACAAAACCTAGGTCAACCAAGGCTTCCTGCCGATCGCCTCCAGCTATCTAATACACACATGGTCTATTTAAGATTAGTTTTTAAATTTGTGTCCTCTATTTGGATCTTACTACTGGCTACAGACCACTGCAAGGTAAATCGGGATGTACAATTTTGGCGGTCGACTTTTTGTATCTCCCGTCACCAAAGCGGAGAAGCAGCTAGTTATCTGAGGGCGACACCTCACTGCTGTTTTATCCTCTGTCGTCAGCAAAATGAGTGGTCTCGTGATCTGAAGGTTCCGGGTTCGATGCCCTTGATAGAATCTTTGGTACACACTGATGAAGACAGTCCCAAGCAGCTGTTGAATACTTCGTGGTATTTTTGCCAGTAGTATGACTTCATATTATGATAATTCCTTTTAATGTAACCGCTATCCAAACTACCTTTCTGGCCTGATAGTACCTGCAGGAACATTCATTCCATCTAGTGTAGGTAGCTCTTTGAGTCAATGAGATATGTCAAGGTAACAATCTTCGGTCGGGGATATCCGTTGCACACAAGAGATCACTCTCATGACTCAATAGCCGCCTAGTGGATAACACTTTGGTGTTTGATGTGGCGATATGTGGAGAGGTACATTCAGATGAAGAGTCCCAAACCGGACAGAATGCGCCTCCAAATAATACTGTTCGCCTTGTTATGCTTAACCTTTTCTTAATGTCTACATTTTTTTAGAAATGACATTTTTAAGTATGCTTATGATCTCTGACTTCTCTTGTGTTTTTCTTTCTCTCTGTCTCTTTTCTAGTGTTCGCAATTCGATCCATTCTTGGATGATGCCCTGGAATTAGCAAAACGTGTATCCAAACTAGACATCCTAGTTGATGTTCGTGTACTAGAAGATTTACCACATGCATTTCTTAATTTTTGTCTATTAGGTCCAGAATTTCAAAATGCTAATAAAATCTGTATACAAATATTAAATAATTTGTTGAATGAATGTTATAAACCCGAAACATTGTCATCTCCAGCTCCAGCTCCATCACCAGCATCAGCATCCCCACCACCACAGTCATCCTCACCCTCATCATCATCATTATCACCAACTTTTTCGCCTAGTTCACAGGATGTTGATTAATTTTCAACAGATGATATATAGATATATACTCGTATATTTAAGAGTATTATGTATACAGATATGTATGTTTGTGTATAAATTTTAGTTAGTTTCCCTCGATTATCACTACACTACACTACCCTGATCTTTCATAATCTTATAATACTTGACGTGTTATAGAAGAAGAGAGTAGTTGTTTCCTCTGTATCTTCCATTTGAGAAATTATTATTATTGCTTTATAGTGGTTTTGAACAGTATTCGTGCTTTCATGTACCATTTGTCACCTTCCGTCTGCCATTTCTCGCCTCTTTCTCTCTCTTACTGACACTAACTCTAACTCTCTCTTCTGTGTATGCATTAATTTCAAGGCTTCAGTGAAGACGATGTGCATATCGACGACGGCGAATAGATGTCAGAACATTCACATTAACACTCTAGCCATATATATATATATATATGTTGTTTCACAGCTCATTTCTAGCCTCCGCCCAAACTATCTAACTAGCTAATTAGCTAGCTAGCTACACCCTGCTCTGCGCCCCATCTCACCGCCCCACCACACACGTATATATACAACTGAGAGATTCATTTCTTTTCACTATCTAATATCTTCTAGATATAAAAACATTTTTCTTTTCGTTTATGAGATCACTCACACAGATATATACATATTTTCCTCTTTGTTTTGTCCTCCCTATTTATTTTGTTTGTTTGTTCTCAGATTAATTGTTGTTAGTGGTGTTTCATTATTTCCAGATTATTTATTAATATTATCATTACTATTACTATTATTTTTTAATTTAATGTTAATTTCTGGTTACGTTATATATATTTCACTTTAGTTTATTGCGCAATCATATGTAGAGGCAGAGGGAGAGAGAGAGAGAAAGGTGCTACATCCTGTCTTTCTTGTCATGAGGCTGTTGTAATTATATAACCTAATATATACATATTGTAGTGTGTTCAGTTATTTCTCCCTTTCTCTCCTTCTCTCTCCCTACTTACATCTCATTATCATTATTATTATTACTTACTTACTTACTTACTCACTATCATTATTACCATTTGTTTTTTGTTCTATGAATTAAGGTGCCAAATAAAAATATTGACAAGAAATAAGTTATCGTTCATTATTATTATTGTTATTATTATTATTCCCTTGGGTTCCAAGTGTACAACACAGGGCTTTAACATTGCATCTTCCATTGGTTGGTTTGTAAGGATTAGATTTCTATATGATGGAGAAGATTTGTAGCTCAAGTGGATGATTTTGATGTGGTTGTGTTCTCTGAGCTAGCTGGATAGTTAATTTGCGAAGCTTTCATCGCCCCACTACTAGGCGACATCTTCAGCGCATACTTCAATTTCAATTGAAGTGAGCTTTTAGATTTCTCCACGAGTTCACTATTAGTCATCTCTCCTGGTGGGTGACCTTGAACGTGATTGGTTGTTTTTGTGTGTTTTCACATCCTCTAGGTTACTTGTATTGGAATTGATTGTTTCTTTGACTTGAACTTTGACCCTTTGTGTGTGTGAGGTTTCTTTCTTATCGGTTGGTAAATTTTGTCAATCTCGATGTGTCTATTGATTGATGATTCACTGGAATACCAGGCAGGCTTCTAAAAATTCTCTAGCATTTTTGTTGTTTCCTCTGTCTAATATTTGAACTCTGGTTGTTCCAGTCGAATTGATGTCCGTGGTTGTCTGTATGTAGTGATATGAGTGAGGGAGTGGATGTCATGTCTTTTGATGGCTAGCTTATGTTCGTGGATACGAAGACGAAGAGGAGGGGAGTCCACTTTGGCCAATGTAGTGTTTTTCGCAGTTGTTACAATTTATTTTGTAGATAATGTTGGTTTTATCTTCTTTCGCTGTTGAGTCTTTTGGTTGACACAGAGTCAGCTGAGTGAAGTGATTTTGTTGGTTTGTGTGCGACGTCAATTCCTCATCAAGGTTTGACGAATCTTGCAGTGATTTCTGATATATCTTTTATATATGGCAGGGCGACTTTCTTTGTGCTTTCCTTGAGGGCTTTTGGTTTGATAGGTTGGCTTGAGGGTATATGTCTTTTGATGAAATTCCTTGGATATCCATTCTTTTGGAAGAGATGATTAATAAACTCGCGGAGAAATCTACCATTCACCCGATTCAACGGCGAGCCCATAAATTCTAACTTAGACTAATTCGTCATTTAGCGCGACCGCCAGCCAATGTTATCGGTGCGATATCCATCATCACATTTGACTGGATGGAACTCACTGGTCTCGACTTCTCACTAGAACTTCAGGAAACTCCGTCCTGTCGAAAGTCACTGGTGAGCATCTTCCATTTTGTTCTGTTATCTGCAATCCTGTTTGACTGGCCCCGCCGGATTCTCACAGTCTGTTATCTCTTTCATGTCAGCCATGCACCAGTGTGCACTGTGTGGGGGGGATTGGTTTGGCATGCGTGATTTCATCCACCAGTTTCTTCATTGACGTGTATCCGATTCATCTGCAGTGTTGTTCCTCGGGATATTTGTTGAATAATGCCTTCTTGATTGGTTTGTCCCAAGAGTTTCTTGTTGCTAATTCTTTCTTTTTTTAGGAAATTATATCCGATGAGGGAATTGAATCATAAGTGTGAATGCATAATAAAATAATAATAATAGTAGTATGAAATGCAATTAAAATGTTTGTGATGTCATAATCATAGTTCAATTTCAAGTGGCAAAACAATTATTGTTATATATAGAATAACTCATAGGATGTACAGAACTTGGAAGGGGTGTGCAAAATGAAATAAAGACGTTAGGTAACATTGTGTGCAATTTGATAACATTGAATTTAACGAGTTGATCACGGACTGATATCAGTTAGAGAACCATTGAAAACCAGGGAGTACTGGACAGCTGCTGTTTCATCCTAGTTTGGGAATCATCGGCAGTACGCACCCACTGGGATTCGAACCCAGGACCTTCCGGTTACAAGGCAAGCTCGTATACCATTCAGCCACTGGGACCCGATTCAATGGCTCATGAATTCTAACTTCTACCAATTCGTGATTTTAGCGCGACCCCAACTATTGTCGTTGGTGGAAATCGATCCACACGTGACTTCTAATTGGACCTCACTGGTCACGACTTCTCACTAGAACTGCAGGAAGCTCCAACCTGTAGCAAGTCACTAGCGAGCATCAGAATAATTTTCTAAAGTTTGGTTTGTAAGGATTAGTTATGTTTTACGAGTTGATCACGGACTGATATCAGTTAGAGAACCATTGAAAACCAGGGAGTACTGGACAGCTGCTGTTTCATCCTAGTTTGGGAATCATCGGCAGTACGCACCCACTGGGATTCGAACCCAGGACCTTCCGGTTACAAGGCAAGCTCGTATACCATTCAGCCACTGGGACCCGATTCAATGGCTCATGAATTCTAACTTCTACCAATTCGTGATTTTAGCGCGACCCCAACTATTGTCGTCGGTGGAAATCGATCCACACGTGACTTCTAATTGGACCTCACTGGTCACGACTTCTCACTAGAACTGCAGGAAGCTCCAACCTGTAGCAAGTCACCAGCGAGCATCAGAATAAAACCAGTACTCCCTGGTTTTCAATGGTTCTCTAACTGATATCAGTCCGTGATCAACTCGTAAAACATAACTAATCCTTACAAACCAAACTATAGAAAATTGAATTTAACGTTGTAAAACAGAATTGATTTAGAATGACATGTGGAACAAGTGAAATAATACCGGGGACAGTTGTTCAAAGTGAGAGTAGTAATAGTAACAATTGAGGTAATAAAGGAAGAGTATACAAATTGAATAAACAAGACGAAACGAAAAATAAGTAGAGCCAAAATATGATTAGGAATTATCATACTTCGGCAAAGCGGGATTAAGTCCATGAGAGTTGGAGGGGGGGGGGGTTGAATGGACTTTTTCTGTACACAGAGATCTGGCTTTACTGTTTCGACGGTCAAAGCTTCAGCAATAAAGATGAGTAGGGTATGTAGTGATTTGGGCTAATTACTTTTCAAGTGTTGGTTTGTAGGGATTTGATTGATTGGTTACAGGATTTCATCATGAGCAGACATCAGTTAGAGAACCATTGGAAAACCTGGAAGTACTGCACAGCTGTTTCGTCCTAGTTGGGGACTCTTCATCAGTACGCGCCCACTGGAATTCGAACCCAGGACCTTCTGGTTACAAGGCGAGCTCGTATACCATTAAGCCACTGAGACCCGATCCAATGGCCCATGAATTCTAACTTCTGCCAATTCAGGACATGGCCAATGTCTTCGGCGAGTATTTGTCCTCACACCCCACCTGCTGCACCCTACTGGTCACGACTTCTCACTTTTCGCCTTGTGGATAACTTTAAAGGCGGAGGCTGTAGAGATAGGGGATCATTATCGACCAGGTGTTCAATGATTGCGCCTCTTCATGGCCATCTGGTCTTCCATTTGAAGTCAGGTGTTGATAAGAGTTTCCAGTAGCCTGGGTAAATCGTGAGCCAAGTCTCTGAACCATATATAATAGAAGAAATGACTGAATTAACATGGGTTCTGAGAATCTGAACTTTGTTATTTATGCCCTTGCGGAATGGAGAAGATTTCCGAAATGGTTTCAGATTGGGTGAAGGTCTCTTTTAACTTTCTAGTTCTGGTTTTGACAACCTCATCATCAAAATCATCCGCGTGGTGTGCCTGTAGTTGAAATGTGTCGCTGTCTATGTAAGTGAAGGAAATGACCTCTTTTAAATTTATTCCGTTGATAGTGAGATAAGTGAGTAAATATAAAGAGAGAGAGAGAAAAGATATTATTAGGATTTGAAAATTATATCACCATTATTGTATGGTCTGAGATTTTCTTAATTCACGTAGTATTTTGACACAATAAACACTAATCCTGTCGTCACCAGTCTTGTTCTCATCTATACGACTAATTAAAGCAAAATTGAATTAATCTCACCTGGTTGATTTGATTGAGAAGTCTTCATCGTCCCCCTTATAGATAACATCCCTCTTCAGCGCAGGTTTTAGCATAAAATGGAATCATTTGGATATTCCGTCAATGATGTAATTGTATCTCCTGGCAACCACTGTCATGACTGGCTGTTAATTTACGTCTCTATTGATCATATTTTCTTATTGAATTGGAATTTGAACTTTCTTATCATGTGATTTGTTTTTTATTAGCTGGTAAATTTGGTCTATAGCAATGTGACTGTTAATTGCTGGTTGATTCACTTGAGTAGCAGGTTTCTAGGAATTTGAATAAAGCAAGAACAACAGTAGTTTTTGCAGAATAAAATGGTACCATCATTGTCTGTTTCACTGGCTTCTCATCAGCTGCTTACAAGCCAAATTCTGTATTAAGTATATCTACAGAAACAATTTCAACATACTTGCACAGACAGTTCAATTTTAAACAAAAATCAATCAATATATACATACAGTAATAATATGTATATATATAATATTAAACACTATTCCGAACAATGATGGTCATACACAATGGAAAATCTTGGCATTACGTAACCGGATGAAAGAGAGGTGAAAATATCCAGTTACCAGGTTGGCAAAGAAAGACTGATAACTGTTTCTTTCTGAACGCATAAATCAGGTTTCAGGCTCTTGATGGAGATGGCTTCAGCAAACTTGAGGAGAATTGAGATCTTTTGCCTATTGATAATTTTGAATGATCTTGCGACGTCCCTCTCATGACCCGTGTCAAGAAGATGCCTGGCGATGGCACTGTTCAAAGAAAGCATTTGTTCCCGTTAGACAAAAGCTTTTTGGTACATGTTCAGAAAATCGTAGATATGCCCTTCTTTCTGTCCTTCCAATGTAACTGCTCCCGCAGAAACATGTAAATTTGTATATACAGTTGGAGTTAACATGACAAGGATATCTATCGATTTTTGATTGCACCAAGGAGCAAGTTAAGTGCTGAAGTTTGCTGAAGCCATTTCCATCAAGCGCCTGAAACCTGATTTATGCGTTCAGAAAGAAACAGTTATTGGTCTTTCTTTGCCAACCTGGTAACCGGATATTTTCACTTCTCTTTCGTCTGATTACGTAA